TATGGTATCGTTTCCATTGCCTAACCAAAACGATTTTATCAATGCCATTTACTTATATCTGAGACAAAAAACATTTACTACTCTCTTATACTCCCGCTTATTTATCTTGATCTACTTTCGATCATATCTGGTCACTGAATGGAAGCAAACCCCACATTCAGGTTAAAAAAAAGTGTTACATCACTTACTCTTTGATGAAATCTTTGTGTGGTCCACAGTATCTGCCTGAAAGAAGGCCTGGGCGCAGTAGCCCACACTTTTGGCACAGCAATATGAAATACCCAGTTGTGCAAACACAAAGCTTTCCTTGAGCAAGTCTATATTTATATCTACAGTTTAAATTTAATTTGTGAAGCCTGAACAGATTGTGCATAGAATCGTGCCAGAGCCCACATCTTTCTGTCTTAGAGTCATGATGTTGCAATCTGGCAGTAGACTAAAAACAACAGGTTAACACTAATGTCTTTAATCCTTTTACTGCAGCCCACAAATGAGAAGAAATCCATAAACATATGTCATTTTCATTCCAAATTTTAGAGTCACGAAATAGACCTAACATCTCATTCATTTAAATCTGTGGTAGGCCAAAGGAATGCCTTCGGAATATGAATGAGTAACATACATTTCATGTCAGAAACAGTTTGATGTAAAACACTCAAACCAAAAAAGCCGGTTTCGAAAACATTAAAGCACTGAAACGTAAGATATTCTAAATTACTTTTGCAAAGTACAGTCCTTTAAGATAAAATATGTGAACTGTGCTGAAAAGACAGGTCAGGAACATGAAACCAACCAAATAACTGAACTCGACCAAGTCTGCCACAAATGGTCAAATATCCACGCAGAATTACTCCTGAAGCTTATTGTTGGCCAGGAAAAGCATGGCCAAGTTTCTAAGACAAAGTGTGCCAATTATCAGATGTACCATTATATTTTTGGAGCATGTTTGTCCATTTTTGCCTGTGTGAATCGGAGAAAACCCACAAAGAAAAATAAACTCTACTAAAATCAAGATTAAAAGCAATCCTATGACAGACTCCTCAAATGTTACAGTGAGGCTCCCTCAGTGGAACGGCTGTTCTCCTAAATCATACCCGGCTATATTCTCTCCTGCATTTATCATTTATCAGTAAACTGGCAAGCTCTTTGAGAGCACATTTAAAATCTGTGTTTTTGTGTTTTTACAAAGGCACATTTCAACCAGCCTCTGCCACCTTTTGCTAGCAACAAAGCCTGTTTTTTTTTACAGATGTGTTCCAGACAGCTTTTTTTGTTGTTCAAAAGAAGGACAGGCCTTGGAAAAGATTCTAGTTTATTGAATGACAGAAAGGTCATGCTAGTTGTCATGGCAGCCAGAACTAATTGCTCTTATATGAGGCATTTTGGATGGACGAGGCTGATCATACAAACAGGAAAGTGAAGAAGTGAGTATGGCTCTCTATGCTCCACAATCAGATATCTCCTAGCTTGATTTATCTGTTTTTATTTGTTCTGTTTTTATTGCTCCTTTTTGCTGAGTATCATATTTTCTATATATTCTTATTAAATACAGTTTTGCGCAAATATGTTCGTACCGTAATAAATAGATATCAACGCTACCCCTGAATAAAGTTCTGAGTGAAAAATTGCCAGACTGCTGAAATCTCCTTCACAGAGGACAGCTGATTAGAGCTGCTATTCTCATATCCTGGAGAGACTCGGCTGTTGCTAATGAAGAACAGCTTGAGCACAGCCCTCAATCTGCGATGCTGACAAGCATGCCAAAGACCCCGATACATGCCAGCTCTGCTGTTGTGTCCTGTCAGGGAAGTAAGTCAGTAAATCTGTCCACATCGCTAAGAAAAGCCCAGGGTCTGTTCGGCTAAATCAGGCAGACAAAAAGCCATGTGACCCCGGCTATGAATCGGAGAAAAGAATGTGATACACGGCCTTGCTTGCCCCACACATATGCACACACACACATATGCACACACACACATGCATTCACTCGTGTATTCACTTTTATGCATCCATATATATGCCGTATGCACAGATGCAGGCAGTGGCACACAGACAAAAGCCCCCGAATCAGAAGCACCCACACACCCACCTTCACTTTGCTCTTCTTATCCAAACAGCTCCAGGCACTGTGAATGAGCATGTCAGTGGTGTGGGCTGACATTCTGTCACACAAAGAGAAAAATATGGAGACGGATGCCTTCGAAACATCATATACATTTACCTAACACACAAACCCCTGCCCATATGTTATCGCGTGCCCTTTATGGCATAGCAACAGATATTTGAAACTAATCAAAGCCGAGAAGTCTTTTTATTTCTGCCAACCATGGCATTAAAAGAAGAAACTGGGTGAAGACATCAAAACACCTTCAGTGGTATGCAAAAGTAGGTTATGTCTGGAGGAGTTGATTCTCATTACAGTGATGAGGAAGGAAGAGTGGCAGAGGCATCCAGCGGTACTCTATCTGTGGTTGGGTAGCTTTTCCACCAAAAGATGAGAGGAGGAGATGAGTAGACAGGCAGGGAGGCAATGTGCCAGGGTTCTCCCCACAGTCAAACACACTAATTAAGAAGCACAGTGGGGAAGAGGGCAAGAACAACAGCTCTGCTTTGTCACATACAGTGGTTATTTTCTTATCATCTCCAGCACAGGAAGCCCTGCGCATCTGTTGTTGGATGGGGTTTTTGTGTGTCTTTGTTGTTTGGGAGCCTCTCCTGAGCAGCTGTCTAGTCACACCCAGGAATACGGAAACATATCGAAGCTATTTTCAGGGCCGTGGAGATCCAGACAACTCAGGTTGCCCTGCTCAAGCAACGTGGAGCAACATTTAATGGAAATAAATGGAAGTATAAGGGGATGGATGTATTTTAACATGTACACCCAGAGCATATTTTCACTGGGTCATTAATCGAATTTACAAGGAGGTTTGCCACTGAAAATGACACCACTGCACATTTAATCCACCCACAATATTGCTCTGCATAATCATTTATACATATTTATAGCTCTGGTTGCTTTTCTGTACTTCCAAGCCGGTTTCCTCATCGAGCAGATGGACTGGCAGGGAAGGAAAAATATGTGCAAAGAAGGGCAAATTATTATTCATTCTCAGTACAAAATTCCTACAAAAATATTAAGAAATTTGTGAGTAAACACAGCGCATGTCATCGAGAGATTAATCAAGAACAGACATGCTGTCTGGAAGATGACGTCTTACAGTATTCACATGGTTCCATATTGAAATGTAGGTTACATCCACTGAACCAAAAGTAAATTTGTGGCAGACCTGTTTAATTTCAACCCCATACATGAATGTCCTTTTTTTGTCACATAATAGCCGTGAAACTGTACGTGGTTACACTTAACGGCAAAGATAAACACCCAATTTTTTTTTTTAAGTTCCTAAATAAGCTAAACATAAAGAATATATATATTTTTTTTTAAATGAACATATATACATAATGATAAGTGGAACAATTTCTCCAATGAATAATGATAAAAGAGCAATGATAAGTTCGAGCAGATGGGTCCTGGTCTGATTTGTGAGCAGCAGATGTCCTCAGATCCGAGGCCACAGAAATGCCCCCAGACGCAAAGACTATAGCGCTAAAGAGGCCAAGTCTGGTAACTCCACCATATCGCAGTCTGATAGGAATATGTGAAAGCGTGTTCTAATCCAACATTTTCACATATTCCATTGTAACTTACTGTGTTGAGAGACTTACACATTCACTGCCCCATGAAGAGAGATATGACACAATCAACTGCATTTCAGCATCTCTTTGTTTATTGTTCCATATGGTTTGGACACTTGTTACGCATTTGACCTGTGTTCATTTCTGGAAAGCGAACAGCATCTTATTGAGTCTGCCCCCTTCTCCTTTTGTAACTATTGCCTCTGAGATTTAGCTTTACAGTGCCAAACAGACAAATATAATCTGGCCAGCATGTTAAAAAAAAACAGAGTCATCTTCTTACTGTGGTGGATCGGGTGTAAAGCTGCCGCTGCAGAGCTGACCCAAACCCTGAAGGAGCACATGACTCATCATGGGAAGCAGATGCTCTGCTCCACTCAGCGACTTCAGGAGATGAGGTTCAGGAGGAGCTGTGGGACTGTGGGGCTTCTGGAGATTATTGAGCTGCCTACCATAAAGCGTGCATCAGTCCTTTCTGAGGAGAACATCGCCCTCTAGTGGACCAGAATAGTAATAGACATGGCAGATATAGCACTAACAACTCGGGAAGAAAAAAAAACGAATAAACTTAATGAACTAGTGATTAATCCCCCTTTATTTGATACTTTAAAGGCACTAAACTGATCAATATCACGAAAGGCACAACATGTACGTATGTGCAACATTGTGAAGCACAATGAATATATCAGCCATTTCTGTTATTTTTTCAAGTGTGGGAAAAAGGCTACATAATTGTTCTTATATTTTCTGACCATGCGGGCTTCGAATAAGGGAAATACATTTCTAAAGAATATAAGATGTATTTTTAGCGTGGGCTGAAAGTAGTCAAAATATCAACTCAAAAATAGAACTCTACCTACAAAAGGGCATTTTCAACCAGTTACATATCACATAGGTGTCAGCTACACAAAGGATCTCTTTACCAGTGACTTATCGCATAATTTAAAAAAGACAAAAAAAAGACATTCAGAATAATAATTTCATATTACAGTATCTTTGACCTCACAATATTCTGTAAAGCTTTTTATTTAAAGTATCTCTTCACCCACTTTCAACTTGTGCTTGAAATGATCCCTGTGTGCATGTGATCAGTTCCAGAAATGTGCTGCCACAAAAGAATTAATTTAATTCTCACATAGTCAGACTACGATTGAAAAACCTAGATATCTTGTTCCATTCAGCCATCTTACAAAAAAAATATTCTTCAAAGGCTAGTCTTAAACATGAAAAAAAGTGCTGACATGCAACAGGAAACTTTGATCAAATACATAGTATTGAACCTGTGTGAGGGAAGTGTCCAGCCGTCAGTCGTCGTCCATCACCCCTTTAAGACGAAGCTCCTCCTGAACCCTGAACAAATAAGATGGATCTGGATATCCAAAACTGTCGGAAAGAGATGATCAAGATGATACAAACACCGCCACTTTAAAATTAATATTAATTTGTCAGTCTCAGTACGCTAACTGAAGAGCACACATAGGTTTAAATAAAAGGAATAACAATAATGTAAATATGTTTTAGTGTTTGATCTTAAACAAACTAAGTCATTGTTTCTCTATTTGCTTACTTGCAAATCGGGACTCACATTTCCATAAATGAAAAAAGCTTTTGACTGCATGGTTTTGTCAGAAGTTCAGAACATTCTGTGTTGTTGTAATGAGAGAGTTGCTGACAGCCTATAAATGAAGTAACAACAGGATGTAGAAAACATAGGCAAAGGAGAAAGCGTAAATTAATATGTATCTGATTTGGGATCTGAAGGTTTTCAGAATAATGTCATGGTCGTGTTTAATCCAGGTACTGTATTTTACCCATTTTAATCTTATTTGACCCTAACCCGATATAAAGGACAAGAAATAGAGGGAGAAGTTACTAAATGACTAGATGTCAGCATCTGTTTTTTTACATACTTGTTACCTTTAAGAATGCTTAAACAGTGTGCGACTGAAGCTAAAAAATAAACACCTACCACTGTGGTCCACCGTCTACGTTGGTCTTGTGGTGAATGTCATTCCACGTAATGACATTGTTGAGGCCTGTGGTGACGGATCGTCCGATTGTAAACGTGAGTCGTCTGTCGAAAGCTTTCCTCAGCAGCCTCAGGACTTTCTCTCCCTCCTCACAGGCCGGCAGGAAGGCCGTGCGGGAGGTGCTGCTGTACCGCACCCCGGGGTTTGGGTGCTCCGGCTGGAATAAGAGGCACAGCTAAATATCCTATACATCTCTCCAAAATAGGTGGACAGCTGTGGAAAGAGTAGAACAGAAAATGAAAGAAACCATTCATTGCTGCAATAAAAGAACAGTAACATGTCCAAATATATTTTTTAAATGAATCTTTTTTTAAGGGATGGGTCCGAACGGGTCGGCTGAAGAACCTCAGAATTGGCCGATGCATGGCATACGTATACCTCTACAATACTGCCCTGACAGGTGTGTATGTGGGTCCTATCAGGTGTATTTATCCCCCTCTTTACCATCACAAATGGTGTGCTGTTTTTTTTTTTCAACTGTGAGCTGTTTCAAGCATGTTTGCAATGCTTAAATTGTTAATCTATTACCCCACACAGACATCCAAAGTTGAATTCCTCTGCATCTTCTGAAAAGCTAAGCCTCTCCTTAGGGCTAAATTACAAAGCAAAGATGTTTTCCTTTCTTTATTTTCATTATTGATTTTTGGACTGTATGTACTTCGTTAATTGTTATTATTGGTTTAATGCAGGATTTGGACTTTTCTATTCTCATTTCTGTGGTCTACTTATGTCAATAAATGATACAGCAGTCCCCATTTTACCACAGATCATCCAGGTGCCTCCAATTGAGCAGTCAGGGCTATGATTTGCGATAAAAGGTACTAACAACCCATCTCTATGGTGGAAAAACACCAACTTCAAAGTGGGACAAGCATGCCGATGACACAAAACGAGTGTGAGTTCAAAGTGGCAGTCTCACCCCTTGTGTCCCTGAAGGAAAGCTGTACTGAATGACAATGGACCCGCAGTGCTGGAAGCCTGGCAGCCTCCGCCTGCTGCGGGTCACCGTCATGGAGCCCTTTGGCTGGGTGCCGGTGTAAACTCCGTGGAAAGTGTTGCATATCGGACACGCGGGCTTCAGGCGGAACACAGAGTCTATGCAGCCGGAGCAGAAGGAGTGGAGGCACTTCAGGGTTTTCTTCTTCTGGATTGTGTCCAGACAAATGGCGCAGTCTCCCGCCGGGTTGAGGCGAAAGCAGCCGCTCGGGTCCGGGCTGCTCTCCATGGCTCTCCGCTGCGGGGCCGCCGCTTCCGGGTTTGGATGTCAGCGCGCTGGATGACGTCACACACGGTTAACGCATAGACATTTATACATAGACGCAGCATGGAGGGCTGCATCGTAGTCAACGTCGCCTACATCTTGGATGTGGAAATCTATATATATATATATATATATATATATACATTTATCAAAATCAGTTAAATGTAAATGTTTGCGCTCTTCATGCAGAAAGCCACATCTACTTTTCAGGATCTGGTTATTATGGACACAGATTACAGGTTAAATTTAAATATTTCAGTATTTATATTATAGTAACAGAGTTACAGGATTTAGTTGCTGAAAACACTCAGTATTAAAAGTACAGACGCTGGTTTGGTGCTTCCTTATATACTAAACATCAGGAGTAAAAGTGTATAATCATCACTTTGAAAGTTACCTACGTTTTTTTTTTGGGCCTAATTATTTCCCAGATATATTAGTGTGTGTGTGTGAATGGGTGAATAAGGTGCATTAACTTAAAGCACTTTGTGTTTATTTATTTATGTTTTATGGGAAGTAGCATGTTTGTCAACATATTTTATGCTGTTTTGATGCTTCATGCTAAATGTATTTCGCCTGGTTGCTGTGACGGACAGCTGGTGGCATTCGATGCTGATTCTGCCACCGCTGCTGAAGGAGAGCCCGGCCAGCCCCTTCCTGGCCGCCTACTACCCGGACTGCGTGGGGATGAGTCCATCTGGCTCGCCCGGCAGCGTGTCGCTGGCTGAGCTGAGGGCGGATCCCTGCAGAGCCGTGCAGCCGCAGAGTAAGAGCACATAGCCGGTGGGAGCAGGACCCTTAGGCTGACTGAGGCTAACTGTGGCTGACTGGCTAACTGTGGCTAAACAGCTTACTGTGACTAACTGTGGCTAAATGGCTAACTGTAGCTAACCAGCTGACTGTGACTAACTGTGGCTAACAGTGGCTATGCCCTCAGTTCCAGGCCTGTGCCCATACTTCCAGCCCTTCTACCAGCCCAACGAGTGCGGCAAGGCCCTGTGCGTGCGGCCGGACATGATGGAGCTGGACGAGCTTTACGAGTTCCCAGAGTTTTCCCGCGACCCCACCATGTACCTGGCCCTGCGTAACCTGATCCTGGCATCCTGGCACAGGAAGTGCACGGTAAGCCTGCAGCAGCCTGTGGGCAAAGTCGCCTTCAGGGCCAGTCAGATTTATCTGAGTAGCAGTGCTGTACTCATGACATTTAAGAGGAAAACCTCATTAAACGTTTAAATCAGGAAATTGAGAAGAAGCTGAACAACATTAAGCAAATCAATGGAATATAAATTAAAAGTGAAGAAACTAAAGATTTCCAGCCTTCAGATCACAGATAAACAGACATTTAAAGCCTGGATTTAAACATTCAGAGCTGAGTTCTGTCTCTCCTCTTCAGGAAGACTGATCCAGATTTTAGGGGCATAAAACTAACTAAATCTGCAGCTGGATAAGAGTCGGATCAGAGCCCAGTGAGCAACTGTTTCAGCTGGAGTTCTTCTGGTGTTTTTCAGA